TTCATAAATCGATAATTCAGCACTTAACCAAAATCGCCTGACAAGCAGCAAGTGTATACTGCCCGTATCGCACTAGCGATTGGCGATTGCGTCTAATGGCGTTTTCGATTTACTACTCGACCCGACTCGGGTCGCATCAATGGACGTGGAATACATACATAGATATGTATGTATTCCACGTCAATGATGCTAGAGTCCTGTATACATGATGCGACCCGAGTCGGTTTGAGTCGCAAATCGAAAACGCTATAAGTTTTTTGACCAATCAGAACGGAAATCGCAATCACCAGCAGCCGCTTTCTGATTGGTCGCAACGCAAACGTAGACGCAATCGCTAGTGTGATACGGGCATTAATCGTCCTCGCGACGGTTGCTCCTGGCGCGAGAGTGAAGTTGACCGCGCGATTTACGAAATTCTCTCCGCCATGTTAGTATTTACCTGCGGGTGCCCGGTGCGAGACATCACGGGCCGACGCGAGACGCAACGGGCGTCGAGCGGATCGCATAGTTTCGTTCGTGGTTTCGCCGACGTAATTCTTTCCTCGCCGTGTAATTAAGAACGCGCCGCCGCCGCCGCGTCGCGAGATTAATACCGGGAGTGCCGTGCAAAGTGTCGCGCGGTCATAAGCGACGACCGTCGATTTTCGCTCGTGAACGTCGTTGCGTCGTGAGTGAATGCACCGATGGAGATGCGACGATGGACTAACGGAGGAGGATCTGGAGGATCGAGGAGACGAGGAGGCCTGGGAGATGCCCGATGCCGGGCAACGGCGGAGCAACCGTGAGGTGAGTTATTGTTATTCATTTATTATTTTGTTGTCCTGGTGACGGATTCTGCCAATTTTGAGGTTAACTCCGGCGCAACTTCGCAATTTCGGGATTCGATCTCTGACATATGCGAGAAGAGATGTTGCGTCTCTCTCTGCTATTCTACAATTGCGTAAACGTAGGGTTGTAGGAGTAAGAGTAAGAAATTGACCAATCACAGTCGAATTTGAGGAGAATAATTGACTGTGGATTGGTCAATTTCTTACTCCTACTCCTACAACCCTACGTTTACGCAATTGTAGAATAGCCTTTATTCGCACGGTCGTAATATTTACTTGCATGATTTACCGCCGGATTATGCGAACGAATTAATCGGAAATATGCAGCCGCGATTGTTTCTTACATTAGTCTCTTGCATTTTAAAATCATGACGTATTAAAAATTTAACCGGCGCGATAATTATTTACTTCAAGTATATCGATTATCTTAAATGTTGCTTTGTAAAATTGCTAAAAATATTTTTATGTTACAGATCAACGGAGGGTTACAACAACTCCGCTGTTGTGCATCTCGTCCGGTGAGTTATTTTTTCATCTCAATGTCGAGGTCTTCAGCACTCGCCACTCATGTTATTGTCGAGAAGCCGCGGACCCAGTCTGGCAATCGTGACGCAGGGCCACCCTTCCTTTCGGGCTGTGGACAACACAACTGTCGGCCTATTAAACTAATTGACTGCGCAGTATGCCGACCGGCCGCAGCGTTACGTTTGGGAATCGGCGTTGACTTGTACGGACATATCGTTCTCTCTTTCTCCTGCTCTCTGGTAGTCTCGGTTGCATGCGTGTTGCAAACGGAAACCTCGGCGCGTCGATTACGACCCTCGCGCGAAATTTCGCACGCATCGTCGCCCCCGAACGGGCCGATGTCGCGCCCCGAGACCAAAGCTCGTTATGCAAATAGCAAACATGGTCCCGCACACCCGCTACCAAGTGTAGGCATCGCCCTCGTATCGCATCGGTAATGTTGGATAATGTTGGATGAATCGGTCCAGCCAAGTTCTTGGTTTCAAATTGAATCATAAAACAACGCGGTAACAGCTAAGAAAAATTAAAACTATATCGTGCGCGCGCGCGAGTGTATAGTTGTATGCATGTAATATGCATTTAATATTTTACTCTATATAGACTGTACTTGGTGTGAAAAAGTAGGAATTAAACATAAACGACTCAATTTTATAAGAACTGTTATTCTTTTGTTCTTAAATAATATGCGCATATTTTTCTGCGTCACGATCGTCAGTTTAAATATGCGAATATATTAGTATTCTATCAAAACAGTTTTTTCCTATATTTTTCTTTAAGTACAACATTATTAAAAACGAATGCATTATATGTATATTAATATAAATTTATCTGTAAAGGAACGACATGTTTCTTAATTACATGAAGTCCATAGAAATATCGAAGATCAACCTGAATTTAAGAAATATTAAAAGCAGCAAAGATTTATATTGATAAAATACACGCTAAAAAGAAATTCATTCCGCATTTGTCAAGAAACGTCCCTATATAGAGATACGGTAACCACAGGATACCCCGCACCCTGAACATCGGCAACGGAACAGAGATATATCGCTTTGAACACATGTCAATCACCGATCTTGCAAATGTTGCGATTGTCGAAAGGAGCTTCGGTGGTACTTAGTCTCGATTATTGCGGCCCACGTGGGAGCCGTTCCTCCCCTCGCTTTCGAATCTGATCGGTATCGGACTTGCCAACGCAACCCCCGGCGGGCAAGAGAAGGAGAGAGCTAGGAGATCGAGAGAGTCGATTCTCGTGCAAATCGACCGCGTGCGGTCGGACTGGTCGGCGAAGGTAGCTTTAATACCCGACACGCGCCCTCATCAAAGCGATCCCCGGCATTGGCAGTCCATTGAGATCCGCGCGCTTAACCACTTCATCTTCTTTCGGTCTTCGGCGCGGCTCGGAGCGGATCGGAGCGGAGCCCGTCGCCGCGGTATCCCGCAGCTCGTTACCTCGATCGTTTCGGCGCGGCGCGTCGTTATTCCGCGGCGGCCAGCCGCCGGTAATAAAGCCCGTTTAATTTTATCACTCCGGAAATCAAACGTGCCCGCTACGGGTAATTGGCCACTAACGAGGATACATTCGGTCCCCGTCTGATTTTCACGAGCATCAGATACGTTGCGCAGTAACTCAAGCGGACAAACGCGCGTAGTTTTTTTTCTAAATATTATTTGAACGAAAACTTAATAGTTATGCATATCTTATGGAGTTGCATGGAAATATTTCCACACCGAGTTATTTTCCTTCACATTTAAATATGGCATTCACGCTAAATTTTGCATCTAGTAATGTAACATTATATAAGAGAGAATTAAGCAGCACTTTAATTATGGTATAATCTCCCAGTTTAATAAAGATTAAATCAAAATATGTTATGCATATATGGAAATATGCGTAATCTTTTAATGTTAAAAATTATACAAAATATTAATTCCGCGATTACTTGTTTCTAGTTGCGATTTGTGGATTACGTTATTGGAGGATCCTCTCGCTTGTGTTTCAATTTTACTTAAAAAAGCGTCCGCTTAATTTCGCATTGCGCGAATTTAATCCGCTATCTATCAGCGTCATCGGACGGTATGTTAGCGGCGATGTCGACGATCACGGTGGGCATTAATAAAATAACGCAGTCACGGATTTCCGAACACTCGACTGCGTAGAGGGTGCGAAAAGGTAGGAGGAGACGCGATGGGGCAGCTCCGAGGGGGGTGACGATGAAACTCCGATCGGACCTTATGTTCGCGCATTGTGACTTTTCGTCGAGACAGAGAGATACGCTGGTAGTCAGGCATAATTGGCAGGGGTCCCGGACGTAATATTTATTACGGATCCAAGGGGGCGGCAAAAAGAAAGATCGTAATGGCCAACTGGGGTATAAACTGCACCGGCCTCTTTGCGGTTCGTTAAACGAAACCTTCGCCGAAGGGTGCCGAAAAATAACATATACGTGAATCGATCGTGATCTTTCTTCGAGAAAATGTAAAAAAGATCACAATTAATTTCAATATTAAAAATATAGATATTACTTTTAACGGAAGAGAATTTACATTTATGAGAAGGTACTCTTCTTTTTTTTTTCTTAGTAATCGTCTCGAGACGAGCTATGTCCGATTGTGTGAGCGCATCCCCTTCTATAGGACGTAATGTCGTTTGTTTGTCGCTGTTGCTAGGACGATTATTCTCCGCTCGGTCAAAAGCATCTCGGCAGATCGTTCCTATCCCCCTTGCAGATCCGTGTTAAGCGGATTTAATTTGCGTCACGAGCGAGCAGAGACGCTCGCGCGCGCCCTTAATCGTCTTGAATATCGCCGTTGACGTAGGCGCACTCCTTCTCCTTTGGAGAAAGTCCTACCACTGTGTGCACACGAAAAAGACGATCTCGAATGTTATTTTCCGCGAAAACTATCCCTTGCAATCCCTACAGAGTATATCCTGGACACACAGCGCGGTCCGTCGGCGATAAATTTAGAAATTAATAGACATCTCCCAACGTTTAATGTATCTGAGCAATTAGACAATATATTAAGCAGTCAAAACAATTTTTAGCAAGACGAAACACTCTTGAATTTCAAAGAATAAGATTTTTTGTATTTTTATGTTTTTGGAATCTGATTTAGTTAAATTTTAAATTTTTTATGGAAAATATTAACCCAGCAAATTCTTCACGGAAGTTAAACTCAATATTTTCTTAACAAATTTTTTGCAATAACCAAGATTTACAATTTTTTATTATAAGTAATAACATAGATATATATGTACATAAATAATATTGAAAATATGTTTATTAATACTGCGACTTTGAAACAACGATAAAATCTTCTCGATTTGGACTTTGCTAGGTCTGGAATACCATGTAAAAGTCCGTGTAAATGCAAGTGCGCTCGCACGCGCATATACTGTCACCCTCTCTCCTTCTTTGTTTCTCTCCTCTTCCCACCCTTCTCCTCCTCTTCTCTCACTCGTCCTCGTTTGTATATGCGCTCGCGCGCACGCGAGTCGGATGCGGGTATAATAATAACGGTAAGTACGTGTAAGTACGTGTTTGTAGTTACCCCTGAGGTGAGCCACCCCCGGAGAGGCAAGAGAGCCAGGAGGCCCCGCCTTCGTCGGCATGGGGTTGGTTGTCACGGGGGTGGGACACTCGGGGGCGGTTCTTTGCTACCCGAGTCTCGATTTAGCGCTCTCGCTCACCGCGGGGTGCCGACCGGAGAGAAAGAGGGTGACGCGAAAGAGGCGCGCGAAGTACAGCCCGACACGCACCCCGGTGCGCGGTGGAGAATCGAGCCCGCTCGCGAGTATACCGCCCTCGAGCACGTTCCGTAGTCGGCCGCGACAGTACGAGACAAGTATATCATCCTTGTCGGGGCGCGGAGGTTTTAATCGTCGTAATTAGGGTTAGTTCCAACGTCACAGCGCTGGAGGAGTAACGCGGAAGAAATCGAAGCGTTCGTCATTGGTGCTGAAGAAACGAGTCTTCATCGAGGAAATAAACTTTCGCCGGAAGTGAAACAACGAATCGTCGTCGTTATTGAAGAATCCGATTGGGAGAGCCTCTTAGCTGAAGAAACTAGTTTTCGATGTAGCTAAACGAACGAATTTCCGTTGTAGAAACGAGTGTCCGTTCGAGATTCATAATCAAAGAGAAGACTCTTCGTTGCAATTGATTCTGTAAAAGAATATTAGCTGCTTGGATCGACATCCGGTGATCGTGACTTAAATTGTGAAATAGACGTCACTTGTTGGCACTGTTTGGCGACTGAACTTGCACCTTCAGGTACGAATCGGTTTGCATTCTATCAACATTTTTGAATACATATCTTTTATATATCAGAAACTTTCTATCCAACTCTCAGATTCTTCTAAATACAGTTTCTACATTCTCTTATAACAAACTTCCTTCCTTTCTTTCCACTTTAATCTTAGATATATGCTTATTTTTTATTTTAAATGCAGAAAAGTGTAGAGAAAACAGGTTTGTATACGTTATTATTTTCCCACTTGAGATTTTAATCGCTACTCTTAAAACAATGCGCTATATTGAGATGTGAAAATAATTCTAACGACTCTCGCGAAATTCGGGATGGAATCAGTGTCGTAAAGAGATCTCTCCCTCGGACGCTGCTAAATAAATTGATAGTCGATTCGTGCGGGTCCTGAGCAAACTGGTCCCGCGGGGATACGCGGGGTCGTTGCGCCGTAGGGGTGCCAGGCTAACAAACACCGTAAACTGTTTGTGTTTGGGATTAGCCGTTGCTTGGGTTTGCCTCTTGCGAGAAATATTCGAGGTGACAACCTGTGTGCAGATTATAGGCACTTTGAATAGAAAACTGGAAGAATGAAGCG